TCCCAGTTCTTCACAACTGGATTTTAAAATATTGTTTAGAAGCTGAAGGACAAAACTATCAACTTTTTTTATATAAAATTATTTTTCTTGCTGTTAAAAGTAACATCTTAGATTACTATTTTTCTCTAATCATTCGGTATGAAGAAATATCTTCCTAGTTTGTTTACTTTAGGTCTTATCCTGTGCTACTGGAGTTTTTTCATTAACTTTAATGTGAGCAGGATCAGGCTCTTTATGCATTTGACAGCACTTTAGGCATACATAGTATCCCGGTGTGTTTAAAGAACGTCAGCAGGTTCTTAATTGTAAGTGACTGGGGAGCAGGTCAGGTATAGTATCTAAAATAACTTTACAATTAGGCAGTCAAGTACTTTAGGAGGCTGACTCAGTTTGGCCAGGTTACTTCCTTTCTTCTCTTCCCTCAAGGTTCATTTGGGCCCAAACACATGCACCTAGGAGCCAGGTGCTACTACTAAAGCCATTAGCAATCAGAAGCTGGAAGAGTCTGAGCTGCAATCTTTTAGCCCACTAAGGGAACAGGAAATTGAATATATTGGATAAAGAGGCAAACAGAGGTGAGAGTGCAAGTACTGTCTTGGTTACCATCCTTGAGTCTAGGTGTTAGTGATGACAACCTTGTTATGTGTGTTGGTTTTTTTTATTACTGTTCTGGTCTTTTCCCAAAAATCTGGAGTAGAGTAGAATATATGAGATGCTCTATAGACAGTCATTTTATTCTGTGTTTTTACAGTGGCCTAGGACAATAGGTCCATGACTAAGATTTCTAGGTGCTATGATAATAAAAATGCTAAATAATATCTACTCAGTTAACTAGAGCACTGGTGTGATACTTACAAGCTAGTGCCTGATCAGGCCCTTAGATGCAATTAACTCAGTTTTTCACTTGTCTACCTTTAAAGATGACAGTACCACTATAAGTACAAATTACTCAAGTCCTCACTTTAAACAGGATAGTTTCTGGACAACACAGTAAGGGGAGAGAGAGAGAGAAGAAGCTCATTTGGGGCTAGATTCTTTTCCCCTTGAACAGGATAGAAAAATAGAGGGAGAGGACCATTTTTGTTTTAAGAAGTAGAGAGAGTTTGTGTTATAAGCTTCAGGGCAGTTTGGAAGGCTGCTTTAAATTATGCACACACTTTTAAAAATAACAGTATTAATTGACAGCATTTACTTGAAACAAAGTGAGTTAAAAGTAATTTCAGATTTAAAAATCTTATTCAAGTTAATGTTTAAAATCAAATTTACACAAGTTAAGAAGGAAGGTATTGTACATCTGGGGTCAGGCTTGGGTTATGAGGGATTACAAGTATCAGTTACAAGGTTCATAAGATATATACATAGTACATAACCAGCATAGACCCAGATTGGGGTGCGGGAGTTTTTAAAACGTCAGTGGATAAGTGATCTCTGGTATGCCACCCATAGAATGTATTTAGAGTCCAAGTCTACATCTGCCTGTGTCCCTCTTGCCCACTTGTGATTTTCTAGGCAGTTTCCCATTTTAAAAGGCATTTACTCATCTCTGCTCCTGTGTGAGCAACCCACACAAATAAATAGGAGTAACTGACTCTGTAAGGGGAATAGTGGTAATGTACAATGTAAACAAATGAAAAACGGGGGAAATGATTAAGAAAAATGATCTTAGGAATTGCCTAACAGAAGCGTTAACTGTTTTAAGTTGAGTGTCCCTTTAAAAACTCCCCTATTACACATCTTAGGGCTTGAAGGTTACCAGTTTCTGTTGATTTTTTTTAAATAACTTTATTCACTTGCTAGTGCAGCTGGCTGTTGATGCAAGAGGGGAAAGGAGAGCCCTGATGACAGCCCTTGGCTCGGAAATAAACCTCGACCTCAATTGGTTTCCCAGGGCCTCCTAGGTCTGAGGCGAGCTCCCTTGGATCTAACGTTACGGGATCTTGTCCTACAGCAGCGAAGGGCTGGCCGCAGGCCATGGGTCAGGCCCTTCAGGACAAGTGTCCACGGGGGCTGGGGAGAGGGAGACACTTCTCCCTGCTGGGGGAGGAGCCCGGCGCGGCTGCTCCCGCCACCTCTGCCCGGCCGGGGGGGGGACGCTATGGTCACACATGGGGCAGCGGGACTCTGGCCTTGCGAACGGCAGGCTCGGGGCGGGGACGTTCAGTCTCCCCCACAGGCGGGGGGGGGGGGGAGGGCAGCCCCCGGCGGGGGGGGGGGGAGACGGCCATGCTCGCCCGGGGCTCACCTGGTCTCCAGGGAGCCCATCCCCGGGTCTCGGCAGCGGGGCGGGCTGTGACCGGGCCCCCCGAGGGGCAGCTTATTACCTTGGTCTCCACCGTGGGCCCCTCCCGATACCCAACCTCCCTCTTGAGGCGGCTCAGGAAGGCGGGCTCGGCCGGCGGCACGTACGAGACCTGCGTCTTTTTGCTCATGGCTGCCAGAGGAACAGGCAGCAGCGGCGAGAGCAACGACGCACTTCCGCCCGGGCCAGGAACGAACGGTAGCAGCGGCGCCGCTTTCCCGCAGGCAGACCCTGCACTTTCCCCGGTCACGTGACAGGGGCTGGTCGTACAGACATATGCACACACCAATGGCCGCCCCCATGGTGACTTCACAGCGGGAGACGCTCCCCCCCGCCCGCCAGGCAGTTAGCGCCAAATTCAAACAGGCCGCCATTTTGAGCCGCCGAGAGTTCCCAGTGCTGGGGGAGGGGGACGCGCCGGGCGCAACGGGGTTTGGAGGCGAGGAAGGGCGCCGGGGGCTGCGCGGACAATGGCTCCTGGGACCAAAGGTGAGGGGGGAGGGGTCACTGCGAGGTGCCTCGGCGGCTCGCTGGCGGCTGCCCGTGCGACGGCTGGTCTGTGTTTGTTCCGTTTGTGTCATAAAAGGCTGCTTAGAAACCGCCGCTGGCAGTTCCCTGTCGCGTGAGGGGGGAAAGGAGTGAGAGATCCGAGCTGGCGCCAGCGCCTGGCTATGGTTCCTAACGCCCCGCGCCCCAGTCGTGCTGCCTAAGGGGTTTTCGGAGCTTTGGTGCCCCTCCCCCATCTCCCCTAACGGTTTTACCAGCCATTCCCCTGGTGAGTTGTGCCAAGCACGAGTCACCCGCCCTGTGCCAGCAGCGCTGCCGGGGGACGTTTCCTTTGCCACTATCAGCCGAGGTTGTCTCTGGGGCGGGGGGGAGGTGCCCCATCCAATCCCGAGCTCCATTTTTGGCTCAGCTGAGTGAGGCTCCTGCAGTCAGCTGAGCGGCTTCCCCCCTCTGCCCGGGGTCTCGATGGCGTTTGCAATGTGGGCAGCCTGAGGGACTTGTTTCCCCGGCAGAAAGCCAAGAAATAAGAACAGGCGGTGGGGAAATGGGGAGGCACACGGAGGCCCTGGCATAGGGAGGAAGAATGGGGGACACGCAGTGCACCTGGCCTGGGGAGGAATGAGGCACAGTGGCACGTGATGGAGGGGTAGCCCCTGGAATAGGGGGAAAGGGAGAGACGGGAGGACAACGATATGGGAGGAGAGGGGCCTGCAGGACCTATACAGAGCCCCTGGCATGGTGTCAGGGGTGAATAAGAGGACGCAGAGCCCCTGATTTGCGGGGGGGGGGGGGGTGCAAGAGGTTAGAAAGAGAGAGGAATAGCACTGAGAGCTTGTGGGGGAGAATGGAGGGATGCAAGGAACCCAATCAGGTTGGCTTACAGAAGCAATGAAGTGTGCCAGCCTCTAGCTCAGGGGTAGGCAACCTATGGCACGCGTGCCGAAGGAGGCACTCACACTGCCCGGGTCCTGGCCACCGGTCCGGAGGGCTCTGCATTTTAATTTAATTTTAAATGAAGCTTCTGAAACATTTTAAAAACCTTATTTACTTTACGTACAACAATAATTTAGTTATATATTATCAACTTATAGAAAGACCTTCTAAAAACGTTAAAATATATTACTGGCATGCGAAACCTTAAATTAGAGTGAATAAATGAAGACTCAGCACACCACTTCTGAAAGGTTGCTGACCCCTGCTCTAGCTGGTGCTGAACAAAAGTCTAAACATGCCTGAGGGCAGCCTGTTATCCTAGACAACTGCCCTGCTCAGGAAAGGTGCATCCAGACCACAGTCTGGACTCCTCGATTTTGATTGTCTCTCAACTACAGGCCCACCTCCCTGGAACAATGATTTTTCTGCCCAGGTTGGGGCAGATGGGGCAAGCATGATTGGGGGAGGGGGCTGGAGTATCTCAGGAGGTGGGGAAAAGGACAAGGAGACAGACACAACTCTGAGCAGGGAGGGGGCTAACTGTAGCCACTTACAGGAGAGCGACTTTTTAATTTGTTGCAACTAGGTGGAAGGGCAATGGTCAGCGTAAACAGTACAATCTAGACTGAATGTTTTCCTAAAAGATATGCGCTTGAAATTAGTTGGGGGAAGTTTCAGAGGGGTAAATGGACACAAGTCAGATGAGCCCTGGGCGAGCATGGCCGCCTCCCTCCATCCGCTGGGAGCTGCCCTACACCCGCTCCCCCCGACCTGTGGGGGAGTCTGAGCGCCCCCCGCTCCGTCCCGAGCCTGGCGTTTGCAAAGGATAAATGGACACAAGTCAGATATTAGGAATGGCAATATACAAAAACCTGTAAGAGAACACTTCAACCCCCCTGGTCACACAATAGCAGATTTAAAGGTAGCCATCCTACAGCAAAAAAACTTCAGGGCCAGACTTCAAAGAGAAACTGCTGAGCTTCAGGTCATTTGCAAATTTGACACCATCAGTTTAGGATTAAACAAAGACTGTGAATGGCTAGCCAACTACAAAAGCAGTTTCTCCTCCCTTGGTGTTCACACCTCCACTGCTAGAAGAGGGCCTCACCCTCCCTGATTGAACTAACCTTGTTGTCTCCAGACTGATTCTTGCCTGCATATTTATACCTGCCTCTGGAAATTTCCATTACATGAGTCTGACGAAGTGGGTATTCACCCACAAAAGCTTATGCTCCAATACATCTGTTAGTCTATAAGGTGCCACAGGACTCTCTGTTGCTTTTTGGGAGAAGTTGTGTGCTATGGCCTGTGCTATTCAAAAGGTCAGACTAGCTGATCACAATGGTCCATTCTAGTCTATGCATCTAAGAAATGTCACCCAAATAGATATGACTGTAATCCTGCAGCTGATTGCACTGGCTGCATCTTTGCTTCCATGCAGATACACGGTGAGCTTCTGTGGTGTTCCACACCGTTGCAGTGGTCTGGCCTGGTGCAAATAGACAAATTAAACAAATTGATAAATAGAGAACAATTATTAAAACTTTTAATTGGAACTGCTGCTTGTAATCATAGAAGATGCAATTTTTTCCTACAAATATGAAATTCAAGTTGATACCATCCCTTTAAAATGGAAAATGCAAGCTGTTAGATGAATTGATATATTGATTACTTACTGACACTGTAGCTCCTATAGATCTCTAGGTGATTAAATGCTATTAATTGTATAGGTTTTTTTAAATTTTGTTAATTGTCTTGTGCTATTTGAGTTGCAATTTTTTTGGCTATGTTGCATATTCGTTTGAAAATGGCAAATGCTGCTTCATAAATTAATAATCTTGTAACAGACTGCTTCAATGTCATTGAGTGGATCAGAGATGATATACTGTAGCACTGGTACATTTGGGACTATTTTTCTCTTAGTGGCAGAATCATATTGATGTATCAGACATGCTCATTTTAAGTCTAGCCCCTCTGTGCCCTGATGTCAATAACTTCTGCCATTGAAGTGCAGACTTAGGCTTTGATCCTGCAATGAAATCTGTGCTGGCTTAGGGGGCCTTAATGGTATTTATTATAGGGAGTTTATGACTGGTTATTTCACACAGTAGGTAAATGATTATAGGTTAGACATGCTCTTGAATAATTAAATCTCATAGCTGTCTCCTGCTAAAAGCAACACATCTCCATGTGAATGGAATTTAGAAGAAATATGTCAAAAGATGCGGACACACTGGGGAGGATTTGGATACTTTATAGAACTGATTTTAAGTATATTTTTTAAAATGTTCAAGTAAAAATAAATCAGTTTAGCTTTTGCTATGTTATTTGAAATTTCACATTGCTAATAGGTGTCAAAACTAAATGTGTGTATATTGCTACACCTATATGTAGTGCTTTAAAAATATATAAATCTATGGTCCATACCTGCAAACATGCATCTGCTTAATTTTATGCATTTGAGCTGTCCCACTGAACTCAATAGGTTTATTCACATGCAGAAAGTTAAACACAGGTGTTTGCACTGCAGCATCAAGGCCTACTTTATCTGTGCAAAAACCACTAAACCGAATATCCATCAAAGGAAAACATTAGCTGAATTTTTATTTTTGCAGGTCTCTGTTGTGCATAACCTCAAAGTCATTTAAACATTTTTGTTTTTATTTTTCCAATTTTAACTCCCTCGATATCACTTGCAATACTTTTTTAATGACAGTCATAAATTGTTTTCCTTGACAGTTTGATGTATGTTTTTCCTTCTTTAAAAAAAAAACACAGGAGATTCACGTGATTCCACACTGCCTCTGTCAAATACACCAAGGTAAAAGACTATTTGCTAATTTTTGTATTAATTTCTCATATACTAACATTAAAGGGCTGTGTGGGGAAAGTCTGACATGTATATGACATGTTTATTGTTTCCATTCATCCCATCATTTGATAGTGCAATTATCCCTCCCACTTTCAAATTTAGTTATTCCAACCACATTTTTTTCCTTTAAGCAAGTTCAGTTCTAACACTGCAGTGCTAGTCTATAATCAGTTTCTAGGGGCTCGGCTACACTTGCAAATTAGAGCACCTAACTCCTGAGGTGTCCACATTAGCAAGGCACTTAGAGCGCCTGGACTCTGCAGCTGGAGCGCTCCTCGTAATCCACCTCCACGAGAAGCATAAAGCTTGCTGCGCCCCGGCTGAAACGCCCAGCTGTCAGTGTGGATGACGTGTTGCATTACTGTGCTGTGATTGGCCTCCAGAAACGTCCCATAATCCCCTGAAGTCAAGTGGCCACTCTTGTCATTGTTTTGAACTCGGCTGCAGGCATGCGGATATCCCCTTTCAAAGCTCCGTTTCTGACAGCCGGCATGCTTATCTGCTCCAGGACAAAGCAAACCATTACTGTGGAATGCTGCTGTTGTGAGTGTGTGAGAGAGAGGCGGGGGGAGGAGGATCTGCTGCTGTCTGAACTTACAAGACAGCATGCTGACATACTCTCTGCCCCCCAAAACACACTCTCTCCCCCCAAATACACACAACACACTCCCTGTCACACTCCACACCCCCGCATTTGAAAAGCACGCTGCAGCCACTTGCGCACTGGGATAGCTACCACAATGCACTGCTCTTTGTGGCATTGCTAGAACTGCTAATGTGGCCACGCCAGTGCGCTTGCAGCTGACCGTGTAAACACACAGCAGCGTTTTCCCTGCTGCGG